GACCTGTGCTGAGTAATAGAAATGTTCTTCTCAAAGTCAATCTGGAACAGAAATAACAGAGCCAAGCATGTTTTCCAAAAAAGCTGTAATGCAAAAAGTGATCTTTGCAGCAGCGTATTAAAATGAGGAAATATAAACAAGTTGACAGCGTTATTTCTATTAGCTCTGGGCTTTGGGCTACAATCTGCAAGTTTTCACATGTTGCTGGGGAAAGCTGCCTTTTGATTCCTGAAAATTATTCTTTACAATTATAGCCACTAGTGTGGTGTCATTGACCCTGCAAATGTCTTATGGGGTTGAGGGAAAGACAGAGGGGAGAACCAGTGTCGACTCATCCAGGCTTAAACAGTGTGTCTCAAAGTGGTGTTCAAACAGGATCATTCCACATGAATGTCTCTCGTTTTTGTCTCTTCAAAACATTCCGGGCCACAGCTTCCTGCCTCGCTCTCACATTCTAATGCCCCTGCTTGGCATGGCCTCGAGCTCCTGGCACGGCATGAATGACTCCTCTCATTGTCCCCAGGGCCGGGGTTCTGTCATCTGTGGCTGTCACTGCAGAGATGCAAATGAAAGCTCCTTTGAGGTGGATTGCCCTCAGTGTGGACTTGCCCTGGCCCAGGCCAACAGGCGTGTAAATGCATCACCCTCAGAAATAAATACGCTCCTCTGCTTTTCCTGGCCTTCACAACTGCACGCCTAGCTTTTCTTTCCCCAAGCCATCTCTTTCCTGTGCACCCAGATCTTCTCTACTCATCTTTGACTCTCAGACACAGTCAATATTTATCCACCTCTTTGAGGGCTTAGCCACTTTACATGGAAGAAATTTAGCTTTTTATCAATGTGATTCTGGCATAAGCAAAGTTGGGCACCATCCCTTGTCTCCTTTTTTGTAATCCTCCCTTCCTTCTTGTTACTGCTCTCCTGCCTGTTTTCAGATATCCAGTGCCTTGTCATTAATAGATGGGACTGACCACCTTCTTACCCTTTCCTCTATTCCTGGAAGAGAAGCATATAATCAGCTAATCGACACAGATACATGAAACACACATTATCACTTGAGTGACATTAAATTATTCCCGATGCAGGGATATGTTTTGAGAAGGGAAGATGATGGTAATCAATATAAATAAAATAATATCTAATTGTAAAATCTAGCATTAGGTTAGAATGGGGCAACTATTATCCTGTAAATTATTTTTTTCCAGGCATATCATGTTACTCAATAACTCATCTGAGCGCCCAGCACCTACTAGGTATTAGGTAGTGGAATTAACAATGGACTTCTGTGGGACAGCTAAACTTGAACAGATTTTTAAAGTTTTAGGCCACTCTTCAGTACCCATTTTCCTCCTTACCAAATAGAATTTCAGCCAATCCCTCCACCTTTCAACACATCTTTCTTGGGCACCAACATCATATATAATCCTAGTACTTGGGATACAACTATCCTTTTAGGGCTTTCAGTTCAGGCAGGGTGGAAACAAAAAAATTCTGTGTAATTCAGAACAGCATGGTATGAGTTGTGAAGAAGGTGTGCTATGGGAAGACGTAGAAATGTATTCACCACAGTGTTGGGTACCACTACAGACAGTAATCCCCAAGATAGAGTCTGAAGGGTAAGGCGAGTATCCAGGTGAAAGGGAGAAGGAGGTATGCCCGAGAGAAGAAAGAATGTGCTGTTGTGGTGAGATGGGTTTAGGAAGTGCAAGTGGTTTGGCCCAGCTACAGCGCTGGGTTTGTATGGGACGAGCACAACAGCCACAGCACTTAAACTGAGCCAGGAGGTGCTCTAATGCTTTGCATGCCCTCCTGCTGGCTTCAAAGCCACCATCAACACAAGAACCAGAAGACCCACCAGGCTCTGTGTCTGCTTCCCCACTGCCCATCACCCAGGAACTCACTACCACACTGCCAGAAAGCTTCAGGACTAATTCCTTCACGTCCCCCATCCCTGTGGCCATGGATCCCCATGGGAACTCCAATCAGATCATTTCTTTTCACCTGGACCATCCCCACAGAGCTCTGTGCATCGCTGAACATGACCCAACCTAACAGCATCCCAACCCCTCAAACCTGTTCACTGAACCTTCCTGGATGCATCATTCAGTATCATCAAAACTCGCTCCTCTTCAGGCTCGTCTCTCAGTGAGGGCTGCTTTTCTTCTAATCCCATGTATCACAGGGTCTGGAGGAAGAGGCGGGATCCTGTTTGCTCCATATTGCTAGTTCCTATCAAGTTTAACTCCCTCCTCCCTAAAATTCCTCATCCTCTTTGCAGCCACGCCATCATGAGCTTCTCTTCCTCACTGGAGTCATCCGAAGGTCTCTGAGCCACTCACCCTCACTCCATGGAGACTTTGGCACTGGATTCATCGTCTCCCACAAACACCCCTCCTGTCATAATGCCTGCTGATTCCCAAATCCATGTAGTGGATCCTTCCCCATCCTGGCCTTTCACTTTCTTGATCTTCTCTCCAATGATCTTGTCCATTGTCCTACCCCAGCCCCCTGTAGATCTTGCCCTTGTAAGTAACCACACACACTGCAAAACTTCAATTTCAAAGCTTTCCCTTTCTGGCTTCCATTTTCTATCTACTCACGCTTTATCTACTCTATCCAGCTCAGTCTCTCTAGTCCTCTGATTCCAGTTCTCCAGCCCCACCACAACGACCAATCCATTGATTCTACCATCTTTCAACAGCTCCTCTCCCTTCATATCCTCAGTTCCCTCCACATCCGTCTCAGATCCCACGGTCCCTCGCTGTAATCACTTCCTTGCATACCACTTCCCTTGTCATCATTCTTTGTTCCACTTTCTTGGCTGAATTAGAAACTTCGTTAAATCCAACTCTCTGTTTAGTCCGTTCCTGCTCCTAAAGCAGCTGAACATGGCAAAAGAAAACAATGGCTACTACCTTTTTTTAATTCCATGAGCCTTAACCTCAACTAAGCCATTGGTGTTGCCCAAAGAGTCCTTGAAAGGCAGCACCACTGGGGGAGGGCTTATGGAGCCAGACTTCCTGGTTTAGATTTCTCACTCTGCCCCTTACCAGCTGGGTTATTTATTTTCACTTTCTGTGCCTCAGTCTTTTCATCTGTAAAATAGAAAGAAGCAGAATACTTATCTCTGGGATTGAAGTGAGGATCAAATGAGTGAGCTCTCTGTGCTTCCATCCAAGACCAACCTCCCCCTCCCTTGTGCCCTAGGTCTCCTGGTTTCCCAAGTCTAGCAATTTTCTGCTTACTCTCCTGCACCATCAAATTTACTGTCTTAACTGGATCATTCCCATCAACATATCTACATACTCTAGTAACCTTCCTTGACCTATCAACCTTCAGGTAGCTTCCCATTTTCCTCTTCCCTCTTCACTGCAAAATGCCTCAAAAGAAGTATTACATCAATGCCTCTGCCTTCCATTTTGCCTTAAATCCACTCCTAGAAGGTTTTATCACCACTGCTCCATCAAAACTGCTCTTATCAGGGTTAACAATGACCACCATATTGCCAACACCATGGTAACTCCCCACTCTTGTTTTATTTGCTCGGTCCGTAGCATTTGGCCTGGCCATATGCAACTTGACAGATCAAATGCTTCTTGAAACACTTGTCTCACTTGACTTCCCAGAACCACACCCTCATATTTCTCTTCTTTTCTCCTTGGCTACTTCTTTTCAGACTCTTTTACTGTTTCCTTCTCATATTCTTGACGTCTGGACATTGCAAGGGTCAGGGGTCCATGCTTGGCCCTCTTTTCGTCTCTACCTGCACTGACTTCCTTGGTGATCTCATCCAGTTTCAAGGGTTAGATGCCATCTCGAAGCTGATGATGCCCATATTTATATGCTCTTCCTCCGATATCCTCATGGCTCATTTTATCACTTCCTTCAGGTCTTGGCTCAAATTTCACCTCACAGACAGGTGTTCCCACACCATCACCCTATATTCTCTTACTCTGTTTTATTTTCTTCTTAGTATTTTTCTTCATCTGTCATATATTTATTTGTGTATTGAAAGCCTTTTGAGAACAGGGGAATTATCCACTTTGTAGAGTGCCATGTGCATAGAAAGCTACCAATAAATGTGTTAGATAAAATCATGATTTCATTCAGTCCTGACAACACCCCAACAATCCTATTGGAAGAGTTATTACAAATGAAGAAATGGAATCAGTTTGGGCCATTGTCACACAGCTGGCAATTCAGGCAGCCTGACCCCAGAGCCTACCTGCTCCCTAAGGTGCTGCAGAAGCCAGAGGGGTACAGAGCGTCTAGATCACAGGGATACTTTCATGGAATTTATCTTGAGGATAATGGGGAACCACTGAGGTGGGAGTTTCAGGGTTGGGGGGTGACGTGCCCTAGATAAAGTTCTGACTGCATCCCATATATGCCCATAATTGCCTGCTCTAGTTCCTGGGTGATCAAATCATGCCAGCTCAGAGGCTGCCTTGGCACTTTGTTGGAAAGTTTAGGCTGACAGTGTATGTAAGCTTTGCCAGCATCAAACTGGCCTGTGCTGACAATATTTAAGTCAGATTTAGTTAAGAGCTTCAAATCAACTTCACCTTGAGGTCTGTGGAATTAAAAACCTTTCTTGCTGTTTCCGTAGCAGCTTGATAGTTGGCATAATTCCTAAAGAAGCTTATATGTTAATGCCCAAGAACCATTTACTATGCTGTGCACTGCTGACCCAAAATGTCACAACTTGAGTGAGACAGTCTAGTAAAATATTAAGCTGTTTAAAGAACACATTATGTTTCAAGCTATAGTTGGGGAGGACAGGGTTTCCAAAAATCTGATTAAATGAACTTTTAAAATACCTGTAATTTGACTTATTTAAAGTTTAGAGCTCCAAAGATCCTGGCCTTTCAGGTAGCTCATGCACAAGGGTTGTAAGATGCATGAGCTATTTCCATATAGACAATAAATGCATTTGGTGAATCGATGCTAAAATTTACTGTGTTTCCATGGTGAAATGAACTGCTGTTTCTGTTCTAAAGGGAACCAACTGTTCACCCTCCAATACCTCCAAAGCCCAGTTCTCCTGTTTCATCTCCTAACCAGCTGAGGCGGGATAACAGGTAAGACCTAGCACTCCAGAATTTCTTGCAAAATGAAGTTCAAGGGAAATGAAAGCAAGTGAATTGTGACTTGTTCTGTGCAAAGCATGTGTATGTTTTGTGTGCGTATTCACTGAAGAAGCACTTGGAAAGATTTTCTAATTCTATTTGCCCACACAAACGTGTATTTATGTTTGTCGTTGGATACTTATGGCCATTACTTGTCTTATGGAAGTACTTTCAATATAGAAACTAAACAGTAGTCATGTCCAGGAAGTGGGTAGTTCTTTAGGCTTATTTTAATTGAGACATTTGTAATTTATTTCAAAACTATAACAAAATTTGAAAAAATGTTCTAATTAACTTGTCTCCGAACCAAGAAAAAAAGACAGACTTGCTTTTCTACTTTAAATCTCCAGTGCTCTATAATTAATACTTAAAAACAAATTCAGAGATCTGAACATCTTCCCATGTGTTCCTGTTAAACAGTTTAATCATATCGTATCGAACTGTTTTTCAAGACCTACATGGCACACTTCCATTATTATTGAGAGTTTTAAAAAATGGTATCTCAATGAAGACTGAATACATTAGATTTGCTTAATGGCCTGCCTTTGATTCTTTTGTAGTTTTACTTTTTGATGGTGATTCTTTTGACAACATGTAAGACAATTTGAGAACTATTCTTTATTAAGGGGGTAACTTCAGCCAGAAAATGCTGATTGGGTGGCAGGGCTGTGTAGCTTTAGGCATTCAACCTAAGAGTTAAAAACCCAGGTCTGAATTTCTATTCAGTGAAATTTCACAGTACCTTTGAAATTTTGTCCTTGGGAGGAGAGGATACTTTTTTTAATGTTAAGAGAATACTTCTTCATTGAATTAATTAAAATATAGGCCAGATTTATAATTTTTAATTTGTGCAACGGTTATAATTATACTCTTAAAAATAACTTCTCAGGCTTTCTATCTTACATTATTTTTCCTTTTACTCTGATAGTACTGAACAATTAAATCTTAATTTGAATAAGATTTTTTAGGGGGCTAAAAAATGTTGGTGTTAGTACGACCTAAATTCTAACCTAAAACTCGGGACTCTAGAGCAGTGACCTTGTACAGATTCAAAAGAAGCTAGATTCCATGGGAATGGGTCTAATCCATTTTTACTACTCTAATTTATTTCTTCCACAAATGATCTTAAATATAAAATGAGGACAACTTGCATGTTAAAACCCTGATTGCTTTAATCACAGCAAGATGACTTTAATGAAAGAATATGAAAGGGAAGTGTTTCCTATGTAATTAACACATGTCCTCAGGAGTACAAAAAAAATAGTTGAATATAATTTCTTGAGAACAAGCAAGAATGTATAAGTAGGCCAATCAGATACTTAGAAAAACAGCAGAGAAAAGTCATATCACAAATTGTAACAGAACCTAGTACTGTAAAATTTAATTCTAACAACTCAGTGTGGTCTTTCTCAATGTGGTGGGTGTACTGGAAATATGAAAGTCTTTACCATCTTATCTGAGAAAACATATTTCTTGATAGTATTCAAATGGGATAAGTCTTTGAGAAAAAAATCTCTCTGATACCTAACAATAAATGATTCTTCTTATTATTTTTTTATTTTATTTATTTATTTTTGGCTGCGTTGGGTCTTCTTTGCAGTGCGCAGGCTTCTCACTGAGGTGGCCTCTCCCGTTGCAGAGCACGGGCTCTGGGCACGTGGGCCTCAACAGTTGTGGCATGCGGGCTCAGCAGTTGTGGCTCACGGGCTCCAGGGCGCGGGCTTCAGTAGCTGTGGCGCACGGGCTCAGCTGCTCCGCGGCATGTGGGATCTTCCCGGACCAGGGCTGGAACCCGTGTCCCCTGCATTGACAGGCGGACTCTTAACCACTGAGCCACCAGGGAAGCCCTGATTCTTATTATTTTTAAATATTGTATCATTATCTAATAGAGATAAGTGTAAAAATTCTTTATTGATGACTGGAAACTAAAATAAAATGAACATGAACATATTTAGAAGATTTTTATCTCCAGTAGTGCTATTGTTCAAACACACTTTCATCTCTTTGAATGTAAATGTTTTCTCATAAATTTAAATCTAACAGAGAAGTGTTTTCTTACCTAACAGACATTATCTTTAACTTGAAAAATATAGGCAGATATGTCCACCTAAACCAAGTGCATATACAGAAACCAGCAGATCTGCTGAAAGAAATACAAGGTATAGTGATCTATATCTATATATCTATATCTGTGTAATTGTAGATATGATAAAGTATGCTTTGTTGGAACACAAACATACCTAAAATTAATAATAAAATAGACAAATCAGTTTTCCAGCTGACTTCAATTGTGGGTAATAAATGTTTTTATATGTACCTACAGAATTTTATTCCTTTTATTTCTATTCTAAGCATTACATTATGAGCAACCAAAATTGTCTGAACACGATAACAGAATAAGATTAAACCCCTTAAGACAGGAAAACAGCTGTTGTTGACGTGTAAGTGAATAGGTGGAAATATAGTTATTTGATTGAACATCTGCAAAAGCTTTGCCTAGAACTGGCTGTATGACAAGATCATATTCAGCTTCACCTGCACCATCAGAAAAAGGCTTACAAATTGCACTGATGCTTTTGAGCAAGGTTTCCCCCGACAATGCTGGTTTACGCCTGTTGTCTTGAACATCCCATCCAATTTAGTATTTCTTTTGGATATTTATTTATTTATTTGAAAAACACTATTTTTAAAATTAGTTTTTGAACAATGTTATTTTATAGATCTATCAATATGATAAACCAATTTTTTTATTATGGTTAAAAACCTAACATAATTTACCATCTTAACCATTATAATAAGCCAATTTTTTCAGACAATTTTTTTTGACTGAAACACATTTTCCAAAGTGCCAAACTTACATACTTTTTATTTTCTTTATTAACTCCCTTGACTCTCAGGCATGCATCACACAGATATCTTACCTTTGGGGAGAGTACCCTGTACTTAGTACCTTAAGGTACAGCTCTATCTCTATCTTTCCCAAACTATGTCCCATGTGCCACAAGATGTCAATGAATGTTTTGTGAAAGAAGCATTTAATGGCTTACATGTTTAGGAAACACAACAGAATAGAGCTCTCTATCATGAACTTCCCAGAACCTTCAGTGTGCTTATACATATTCCAAATCTCTAAAAGTTGGTTATGTTTCCCAAATTTCCTTGACTACAAAATTCTATCTTCATGGAATGCTATTAACTTTCTAAGATATCATTTATGAAGCACAGGTCTTAATTACAGGTAAAGCTATAAGGATTTCCCTAATTATTCCTTTTCATGACCTAGGGAGACCAGAGGGGATTCAAGCTCAGCTACAGTTTTAAATGTACTTTCTTTCCCTTTGGAAACGTAAGAAGACAGATACTTTCACCTCATATAAGGGACTAATTGATCATCTGAATATGTTGCTTAATGCTCCTTGGTTGGTAGAAAAACTTCGGAACATGTTTCTGTGTTTACTTTTGCAGTTAATTGAATTTTTTTTCCATATCCTTTTTTTTTTAAATATCCACCCTTTTTTTTTTAGATTCTTTTCCCATATAGGCCATTACAGAGTATTGAGTAGAGTTCTCTGTGCTATACAGCAGGTTCTTATTAGTTACCTATTTTATATATAGTAGTGTGTATATGTCAATCCCAATCTCCCAATTTATCCATATCCTTTTAAGTATATAAATTGTGTACAACCAATATCAGTCTTTAGGAGAAACTGTAGTTATTTCAGTGAGCAGTAGATGGCAGAGCCAATGCCCAGGTGGAGTGACTGGTGTGTGTGTGTGTGTGAATGCCGTGAGCTGACATGACAGACTATTTTGTTATTCAGTTAAACTCAGTAACTCCTGATAACACTTGGAGTTTTGCTTTCTTCACTGAACACAGATCAGACATTTTAGCTCCTTCATTGACTTGAGTTTGTTTGTTTGAAAGGGTCAGGATCTTGAAAATATCGTCAAAGTGACCACTTCATTTCAGAAAGCTGACAAGGGGTGAGAGCTCAAGAGCTTTTGAACTTGCATTTTTCTTCTCTTTTTGTTTCAAATGCTGTTTATCACATATAATTTCAAAGAAGAAAGACTCAGGCTCTCAAGATTAGCGTGGTAATTAGAAATGGGTGGTACTAACATTTATGGACACTCTTCATCCTCTGCTTTCTCTTCTGGTGAGTAGTGCTCATCCCGGTCACCATAGTTGTCCATGGTGGTGACCTTATTCCAAACCCTGAATCCTGTATTTATGTTGCTGACCCAGATCCTTATTTATCTGTCTCCCCAGCACCCCCATTTAGAATGTCCTAGGCTATTTTCAACTTCCTCCCGAAATGTGCTATTTCCTGCCTTCTCTCTTTTCTCTCATTTAGGCAAGATCACCTTTCTGGAACCATTTTTTTTTTTTTTTTAACATCATTATTGGAGTATAATTACTTTACAATGGTGTGTTAGTTTCTGCTGTATAACAAAGTGAATCAGCTATATGTATACATATATCCCCATATCTCCTCCCTCTTGCATCATCCTCCCTCCCACCCTCCCTATCCCACCCCTCTAGGAGGTCACAAAGCACCGAGCTGATCTCCCTGTGCTATGCGGCTACTTCCAACTAGCTATTTTACATTTGGCAGTGTATGTATGTCCATGCCACTCTCTCACTTTGTCCCAGCTTACCCTTCCCCCACCCCGTGTCCTCAAGTCCGTTCTCTATGTCTATGTCTCTATTACTGTTCTGCCCCTAGGTACTTCAGTACCATTTTTTTTTTTTTTTTAGATTCCATATATATGTGTTAGCATACAGTATTTGTTTTTTTTTTTCTGACTTACTTCACTCTGTATGACAGTCTCTAGGTCCATCCACCTCACTACAAATAACTCAATTTTGTTTCTTTTTAAGGCTGAGTAATATTCCATTGTATATATGTGCCACATCTTCTTTATCCATTCATCAGTTCATGGACACTTAGGTTGTTTCCATGTCCTGGCTATTGTAAATAGAGCTGCAATGAACATTGTGATACATGACTCTTTTTGAATTATGGTCTTCTCAAGGTGTATGCCCAGTAGAGGGATTGCTGGGTCATATGGTAGTTCTATTTTTAGGTTTTTAAAGAACTTCCATACTGTTCTCCATAGTGGCTGTATCAATTTACATTCCCACCAACAGTTCAAGAGTGTTCCCTTTTCTCCACACCCTCTCCAGCATTTATTGTTTGTAAATTTTGTGATGATGGCCATTCTGAGATATCACAATGAGGTGACACCTCATTGTAGTATTGATTTGCATTTCTCTAATGATTAGTGATGTTGAGCATCCTTTCATGTGTTTGTTGGCAATCTGTATATCTTCTTTGGAGAAATGTTCATTCAGGTCTTCTGCCCATTTTTGGATTTGGTTGTTTGTTTTCTGATATTGAGCTGCATGAGCTGCTTGTATATTTTGGAGATTAATCCTCTGTCAGTTGCTTCATTTGCAAATATTTTCTCCCATTCTGAGGGTTGTATTTTCATCTTTTTTATGGTTTCCTTTGCTGTGCAAAAACTTTTAAGTTTAATTAAGTTCCATTTGTTTATTTTTGTTTTAATTTCCATTTCTCAAGGAGGTGGATCAAAAAGGATCTTGCTGTGTTTTATGTCATAGAGTGTTCCTCCTATGTTTTCCTCTAAAAGTTCTATATTGTCTGGCCTTACATTTAGGTCTTTAATCCATTTTGAGTTTATTTTTGTGTACGGTGTTAGGGAGTGTTCTAATTTCATTCTTTTCATGTAGCTGTCCAGTTGTCCCAGCACCACTTATTGAAGAGGCTGCCTTTTCTCCATTGTGTATTCTTGCCTCCTTTATCGAAGATAAGGTGACCATATGTGCGTGGGTTTGTCTCTGGGCCTTCTATCCTGTTCCACTGATCTATATTTCTGTTTTTGTGCCAGTACTATACTGTCTTCATTACTGTAGCTTTGTAGTATAGTCTGAAAACAGGGAGCCTGACTCCTCCAGCTCTGTTTTTCTTTCTCAAGATTGCTTTGGCTATTTGGGGTCTTTTATGTTTCCATACACATTGTGAAATTTTTAATTCTAGTTCTGTAAAAAATCCCATTGGTAGTTTGATAGGGATTGCATTGAATCTGTAGATTGCTTTGGGTAGTATAGTCATTTTCACAATGTTGATTCTTCCAATCTAAGAACATGGTATATCTCTCCATCTGTTTGCATAATCTTTAATTTCTTTCATCAGAGTCTTATAGTTTTCTACATACAGGTCTTTGGTCTCCTTAGGTAGGTTTATTCCTAGGTATTTTATTCTTTTTGTTGCAATGGTGAATGAGAGTGCTTCCTTAATTTCTCTTTCAGATTTTTCATCATTAGTGTATAGGAATGAAAGAGATTTCTGTGCATTAATTTTGTATCCTGCTACTTGACCACATTGATTGATTAGCTCTAGTAGTTTTCTCGTAGCATCTTTAGGATTCTCTATGTATAGTACCATGTCATCATCAAACAGTGACAGTTTTACTTCTTCTTTTCTGATTTGGATTCCTTCTATTTCTTTTTCTTTTCTGATTGCTGTGGCTACAACTTCCAAAACAATGTTGAATAATAGTGGTGAGAGTGGGCAACCTGTCTTGTTCCTGATCTTACTGAAAATGCTTTCAGTTTTTAACCACTGAGAATGATGTTGGGTGTGGGTTTGTCATATATGGCCTTTATTATGTTGAGGTAAGTTCCCTCTATGCCTACCTTCTGGAGGGTTTTTATCATAAATGGGTGTTGAATTTTGTCAAAAGCTTTTTCTGCATCTATTGAGATTATCATATGGTTTTTCTCCTTCAATTTGTTAATATAGATTATCACATTGATTGATTTGCATATGTTGAAGAATTCTTGCATTCCTTAAGTAAACCCCACCTGATCATGGTGTATGATCCTTTTAATGTGCTGTTGGATTCTATTTGCTAGTCTTTTGTTGAGGATCTTTGCATCTATGCTCATCAGTGATATTGGCCTGTAGTTTTCTTTTTGTTTGTAACATCTTTGTCTGGTCTTGGTATCAGGGTGACAGTGTCCTCATAGAATGAGTTTGGGAGTGTTCCTCCCTCTGCTATATTTTGGAAGAGTTTGAGGATAGGTGTTAGCTCTTCTGTAAATGTTTGATAGAATTCGCCTGTGAAGCCATCT